TAGAGGTGCTTATATTCTTTTGAATTAGTGTTCTGGGTTCCTTTGGATATAGTCCCAGAAGTGGGATAGCTGGGTTGAAAAGCAGATCCATTTTTAACATTTGGCGGTATCTCCATTCTGCTTTCCACAATGGTTGCACCAATATGTATTACCACCAATATTGCAAAAGGGTTCCTCTTTCTCCACATCCTTGCCAACACTTGTTGTTTGTTGATTTATTGATAACAGCCATTCTGACAGGTGTGAGATGATATCTCATTGTGGTTTTATTTTTTTACAATTATAATTTATTGATTTTGCTGTTATAGTTATCTTGATTTTTCCCCTTTGCCCACTTCCAGCCAGCACCACCCACTTCCTTCAGGTAATGCTCCTAAACATTGTTCAGATCCATGGGTCATTTGTATAAGTTCTTTGGTTACTCCATTTCCTATACTGTATATTACATCTCCATGACTATTCTGTAACTACCTATTCGTACTTCTTAATCCCCTAACCTCTTTGACCATTCCCCTACATCACCTCCCATCTGGCAAACGTCAAAATGCTCTTTGTATCCACGATTCTGTCTGTCTTCCTGTTTGCTTAATTTGTTTTTTTAGATTCAATTGTTGATAGATTTTTATTTATTACCATTTTGATCTTCTTTTTCTTAAATAAGTCCCTTTAACATTTCATATAATAATAGTTTGGTGATGATGAACTCCTTTAGTTTTTTCTTATCTGGGAAGCTCTTTATCTGCCCTTTGATTCTAAATAAGAGCTCTGCTGGGTACAGCAATCTTGGATATAGGTCCCTGTTTTTCATGACTTTGAGTATTTCTTGCCAATCCCTTCTAGACTGCAAAATTCTTTTGAGAAATCAGCTGAGTCTTATAGGAACTCCTTTGTAGGTAACTTTTTGCTTTCTTCTTGCTGCTTTTAAGATTTTTTCTTTATCTTTAACCTGTGGCTTTTTAATTGATTTGTCTTGGGGTGGGCCTCTTTGTATCCATCTTGTTTGGGACTCTCTGTGCTTCCTGAACTTGCATGTCTACTTCCTTCACCAATTAGGTAAGTTTTCTTTCATTATATTTTCAAATAGGTTTCCAATTCCTTGCTCTTTCTCTTCTCTTTCTGCCCCCCCCATGATGTGAATGTTGGACCTCTAGAAGTTGTCCTAGAGCCTGGTTGTACTGTCTTCAATTTTTGGATTCTTTTTTCTTCTTGTTCTGATTGGTTGTTTTTTGCTTCCTTATGTTCCAAATCATTTATCTGATTCTTGGCCTCATCCCTTCTACTGTTGTTTCCCTGTAAATTGTTCTTTCTTTCAATTAGTACATCCTTCGTTTCTAAACGGATCTTTTTTATGCTCTTGAGGTACTCACTAAGTTCCTGGAGCATCCTTATAACCAGTGTTTTTAACTCTGAATCTGAAAAAGTGTTTATTTTCATTTGTTTAGTTTTTTTGTGTGGATTTTTTATCTGTTCTTTCATTTGGGCCATGTTCCTTTGTCTCCTCATTTTGGCAGCCTCCCTGTGTTCATTTCTATGTATTAGGTAGAGCTACTTTGACTCCATGTCTTGGTAGTATGGCCTAATGTAGTAGGTGTTCTGTAGACTTTAGTGGCACAGCCTGCCCTGTCACTCAAGCCTGGTACTCAAGATACAACCTTCATGTGGGCTGAATACACCTTCATCTTGTAGTTGAGCTTTAGTTGTTGATGGTAGGTGAATAGGAGGTATTCATCTCAGCCAGTCAGTTGCAAGGACTGGTGGTGACCACTTATCACCAACCTCTGTCCTCTGTGGAGGATCAGCTGTGCAGGGGCATGGTGGTGGTGTTCTGACGTGGTCTGTAGCTGTCCATTGGGTGTGCTGGTACTGGGGTTTCCCAGGTGGTGCAGACCAAGGTCAGCTCCCACCTGTGTTTCGCCTGGGTCACCCTTCCTGAGCTATAAAGGAACCTGAGATGCCTGCTACTTGTGCTAGACTTAGAGATTTCCAGGTGAAGCCAAGCTATGAAACTAGGCTGGCTGCTCCTAGTGATGGGGTTAGGGCTCACTAAGGTCAGCTGCTGCTTGTTTGATAGGATTTAGGAAGTTGTGAAGCAGGAACCAAACCAGCTATTCTTACGTAAAAGAAGGATGGGTGGACCCATAAGTTGGGTGGGGTGAAGTCTGTGGGGATCTCCAAGGTGGGTCAGAGTGTTAGCCAGATTGATGGAGTCTCAGATAAGGCACCAACTTGCAGCTCTGTGGAGGGAAGTTTGGAAAAAGGACAATGGCCTCTGCTCACCTAGATCTCAGCCACTTAGTTTTTCCCTGTACACCACTAGTGCCTTTCAAGCTGCTACCCCAATGCTGAAGCTCAGAGGGAGTGAGTGCGAGCAGGGGAGTCTATGTGTGAGTTCTTTAAGAGGAACTGCTTGGGGTTCCAGAAGTTTCTTCCACTGACTAACCCCACTGGTATTTGCAGCCAGAACTTGTGGGAATTTCATCTTTTGGCTTTGGAACCCTTGCCTGGGGGGTTGGGGGGGCCTGGTGTCGGGCTGGGACTCCTTATTCCTGATACCTTCCTCCCAAATTTTTATCCACCACATGTGGGTGAGGGAACAGCCTATTCCGCATCTGCACCCCTTCTACCAATCTGCATGTATGTGGTTTCTTTAATTCTGTATTTGTCAAACTTCCATTCAGTTCTATTTCTGATGGTTCTGAGTGATGGTTGTTCTATATTTTAGTTGTAATTTTGCTGTGGTTGTGCAAAGAGGTGAGCCATGTCTGCCTATGCTGCTATCTTGACCAGAAGTCCCTCGTTGTGGTTTTAATTTGCATCTCTCTGATGATTAGTGACACTGAGAATCTTTTCATATGTCTATTGGCCATCTGTATGTCCTCTTTGGAGAAGTGTTTATTCAGGTCCTTTGCTCATTTTTTAAATTTGGGTTGTTTTTTTGTTGTAGTTTTGTAAGTTCTTCATAAATTTTGGATAATTATCCTTTATCAGGTTTATCAGTGAGTATGTTCTCTTGGGCTGTCTTTTTATTTTGTTGATGATTTCCTTTGCTATACAAAAACTTTTTATTTTGATATAGTCCCATTTATTTATTTTTTCTTGTGTTTCCCTTGCCTAGGGAGACCTTCTGATAAAATATTGCTAAAAGCAATGTCTGAGATTTTGTTGTTTTCTTGCACAATTTTTATGGTTTCGGGTCTAACAGTTATGTCCTTGATTCATTTTGAATGTATTCTTGTGTGCGGTGTAATAAGATGGTCTAGTTTCATTTTTCTGCATGTATCTGTCCAATTTTCCCAACAGCATTTACTGACTAAACTATCTTTAGCCCACTGTATGTAATTGCTTCCTCTGTCTAACATTAATTGACTATAAAGGTGTGGGTTTATTTCTGGGCTGTCTACTCTGTCCCATTGATCTATGTGTTCTTTTTTATGAGTGTACCATGCTGTTTTGATTACCATGGACTCATAGTACAGTTTGATATTAGGCAGCATCATTCCTCCAACTCTGTTCTTTTTCAGGATCAGTATTGCTATTCAGGGCCTTTTGTGGTTCCACATAAATTTTTGAAATATTTGTTCTAGTTCTGTGAAATATGTCATTGGAATCTTGATAGGAATTGCATTGAATCTATAGATTGCTCTGGGTAGTATAGACATTTTAATGAGATTAATTCTTCCTATCCATGAGCACTGTATGTGATTCCACTTATTTGTATTTTATTCTATTTCTTTCTTCAGTGTCTTATAATTTTCTGAGTACACCAATCTTTTAATGTAAACCTTGGTTATGTTTATTTCTAGGTATTTTATTCATTTGTATCAATTGTGAATAAAATCGCTTTCTTAATTTCCCTTTCTCTTTGTTCACTATTGAAATATAAAAATACAACTGATTTTTGTGTATTAATTTTGTATCCTGCTACTTTACTGAATTCATTTATCAGTTCTAGTTATTTCTTGGTGGAATCTTTGGTGTTCACTAGGTACAGTATCATGTCATCTGCAAATAAAGACAGTTTTACTTCTTCCTTTCTGGTTTGGATGACTTATTTCTTTTGGTCTGATTGTTGTGGCTATCTTCAACAATATTATATCTTCAACATTAAAATGGTTACAGAAAAATTCATAAGTTTTTATTATTTTTAAATGCATGCTGATATGACAACTGTCACAGTGCAATCTTATAAAATTGTTCTGAATGAAATTCAAGACAACTAAATGCTACTAGAGCCATCTTACAGAAAAAAATGAACTTCTGGGCCAACCCAATAGTAGCAGCAACACTAAGGTTCAAAGACTGTTTTATTGTTGGCATTTATTACCACATTTCAGTGGTTCCCAGGAAATGGAAATATTATCCTGAAAAAGGGTGAAAGGGGGTGAAGGATGGGATGAAACAGTCATATTTATTGCCTTGCTACTATGTGGGGTGCCTAATGATTCTTTACATATATTATTTAATTTAGTCCCCATAGTAATAATCCTCACATAACTGTCAACCATTTATAGATGAAGAAATCAAAGCTCAGAAAGATTTAGTAATCTGCCACACAACACCAGCTGTTACGTGCACAGCCTAGAGCCAAACTCAGACAAACTCTGTAGAGCCATCTGATGCCAAAGCCTGCACACTATTCCTATAGACTCCTGCCTCTGGAGGTACCTACTCAGCAAACCAGAGCTAAGGATGGCTGTTAGCCCTGACTGGGTCACTCAGTTGGTTGGAGCGTTGTCCCAATACCAAAAGGCTTGATCCCCAGTTGGGGTGCTTTTTGGGGGGCGACCGATCAATATTTCACTCTTACGCTGTTTCCCTTTCCTCCTAAAAATCAATAAACATATCCTCAGGTAAGGACTTAAAAAAAAAAAGAAAGGTAGGTTGTTAAGTGGACCATTTATACTCCATCACTTAATTTCCATCACTTAATTTCTAGGAGAGCCTAACATGCCTAGCTTTCCACGAACCCAATCATAGCTGTGTGCTGCCAACACCCTTACCTGTGGACATAAAAAATGGGATGCGGAACTTTCCACTCAACACCCGTGCCCGCAGATTCTGTAGTGTGCTCCCATCAAATGGCAGGGCACCACACACAAGCACATAGAGGACGACTCCAAGGCTCTGCATCCAAAACAGAGAGTATATACAATTAATCACATCAGAGGAAACAAAAGAGGCTATTATAGTATGTGTCTGAAGATGATGTGAGTCATGCACAAGATAATGGAACAAACTTTTTATTCTTTTTTTTTTTTTTAAATGAGAAATAATATGGGGCATTGTCAAGGCCAATCATCTTTAGAACAGTTAACCTTCTTTGCTTCCACACATTAATTTTGGGTAACACAGTTAGAATTTCTCTCAGTATTCTTCCTCTAGGAAGAAGGCAAGTGGCAACAACAGAAAGAATCTCTGTTCTTAACAAGGGCACCATCCAAGTTTGCCCTTAGTGTTTTCTTTTTGTACATGCAAATGGGAAGTTTGAAATCTGTGTCTCAATCCTGCTGGGGAAAAGACTACATGAAGAACTGGGAATTCAAAGAACAGGTGAGCAAGATCTCAATTCACAAGCAGCAATATTGGGTTGTTCAGGATGAGGTGACTATTGCTACAGGGCCTGAGAGAAGGCAGTCACATACCCAGATATCCACTTTGGGCCCATCATACTCCTTTCCTTCAAAGAGCTCAGGGGCAGCATACGGAGGACTGCCACACCACGTCTTCAGCAGCTGCCCAGGGGTGAAATGGTTGCTGAAGCCAAAATCTAGAAAGACAAATGGATATAACTCATATTATCTGAACCTGGCAAATACTAGCTAGTAGGCACGAGAATAAAGGATCTGGATCATCAAGTTTGAATATCCAATGTAAAAAGACAACATTTGGAAATTATACAACCAGCCCCTTAAACTTAAAATAATAGTGAAACAAAGCTGCAGATGAGCTTGAATGCAAAAGATATCCGGTTAACTAAAAGTAAACAAAATTGGTTTATGTCAGCAAAATAAGCACTGTTCCTTCAAAAATCTAGGCTTAGTGAGGCAAGTGTTACTTGTTCCTTTAAGAACAAAAATAAAATTGGATAATGATTGATGTTATGACAACATCAGAATCATAAAATCATACAAGCTTACTCAACTGGACTCAAAATTTTCAAATTACTTTTACTTCTTATGGTAAATGTATTCATGACACATTATTATTATTATTAAGGTTGCTTATTCAAAATAAAGACAATTGCTGTTTTGTAAGTACTTTTATGTGTATAAATATTATGAACAACTCATATGTACAACAGGCTGGAACTCCCTCCTTCCCAGGATCTATCACATTCCCTGTGGTCACAGCATCTGAAAATGCTCAACACCTCCCTACTGTATGAAATCCTTTTCTTCCCTTCCTAGTTTTATTCTCATTGACAACTGTCTCCTTTTGCTATTTGCTTTTCGTCTTTCTACTATCCACAGGTGTTTTCTAGTAAGATGTGCTGATTTTCACTGTCTCCTTGCTCTACACTTTTTTCTGAGGGCTTAACTCTTCTAGTCCCACTATAATTTGCTTGGTAATAATTCTACAAATTTACCTCTCTGACTCTAATCTCAATTGTTAAGTTCTTGACATGAACTTATAATACTTGCCTGGAAAGGAACACTTCAAACTTACCATTTCCCAAAATCAAATCTGCTCTTCAAGTGATAATCCCATGGTTATTAATGGAATCACCATCCCAGTTACTAGAAGTACTGGAGTCATCTTTTCTTTCTTCCTCACTTTCCATTTCCAAATGGTGAAGCTTAATTGCTTCTACCCTGTAAATGTGTTTTACATCTATCTCCTCATTTCTCTTTATATTCCTACCATCTCAGTTCATACTCTTTATCATCTCTGACATAGACTGATGCTACTGCTTATCACCTATACCTATTATTTCTCTGTAAGCCATCCATTCATTGCACAGTGAATGTTACACAAATTGCCCTGTGTTAACACCTTGCTGGAAAACATTTGGTGGCCCCCTTCTGCTTAAAGAACAGTCTAAATTAGCATTGCTGTTTGCAGTGTCTCATAACTCAACTCCATCCTACCTTTCCAACTTATCCCTGGCCATTCTAGCATTAATAGACTACTCACATCCTGTGTTTATGTGCCTGACTTATGCTATTTCCTCTCTGGGCCATGCCCTCTCCTTTCCTTTCATATATGAAATATCACTTTGTTTCAAGGACCAGTCAAATATTACTTCCTGTATGAAACCTTAACTGATTTCCACCACAAAAAACCACGTCAATGGTTTCCTCCCCTGTGCTTCCATAGTCCTTTGTTTATCCCTCTACCACCCAATCACAACTCTGCCTTATATTATACTTAGTTGTATTACATGTTTATTCCCTCCACTAGTCAGTAAATGGGAGGGATATTATTTCATTTACCCTAACCTCCACAAAGTATTCCCATACATAGCAGGGACTCAAGAAAGGGTCACTGAATTAAGCTGTAATAAAATTGTTGGGCCAATCCTCTTATCACCTCCTGGCTACTAGAGCCTTCTCATACCGACAACAGCAACTGGCCAGCTACTAGAGCCTCTACCTCCTAACTATCCCTCCTAAATTTCTAAAATTAATGATCATGAGGGGCTTAGAGGTCAGGGCCATCATTAGACTCTCACAATAGCTACTATGAGAAATCAAATGTTACCATTCTTCAATGGAAAACAGATGCCTCTTCTGTCCAGAAGAGGCTGAGCAATGAATTAAAACCAGCTGACTTTAAATTTCCCTAATAAGCAACTTAAAATATATAGAATTTTTATCATTTTGAATCACTAATGCTCTATCTACAATTAATAACCTTTCTACCATTTCACACTGTCGTGGAGGGGAAGACACAAAGTTAATGGCATAAGCTTGTATCTTGTACCAACCAAACAGATGGTCGTTTTCTTTCTTTACAAAGAAAACATTGTCAAAGGGAACTACCTTCAGCTATGGCTAGAGGTTTAGATTGCCATTAGGTGTTTATAAGAGAAATGAGTATGCAAGAATGAATGATATGATTTGGGCCTGACAATTAAAGAGAGCCACATCTGGGGAAGCACCCGCTTTTACAGCATGTCACAGCCAAATACCTGGTATCCACAGCTAGATCCAATGAATGGAATGACCAACAGCAAAATTTCAACAAGACTCAACGATAAGTCCTCTACCCACTCTGCTCTTATTTCCTATTACATACCAAGCAAAAAACCTTCTAATCCTGCAAACCTGTCCAAGGGTCTCCTATAATCATTCAAGTAAGTGTTGTTCTTACTCCTGACTCTAAAGGTATTGCACATATAAACAAAATTTGCTTCTCCCTGCCTACTATGACACTTTTTTTTCCATTAAGGCCAGCTTCCTCCAATAAATGATCCTGGGATATCTCAATTCATTCTTTAATGTACCAAACCTAACAGGATATACCCACCCTCCCACTTAATATACATAATACTATGAATTGACAGATTTATTAAAAGTATACTGCTCTTTTATCTTTAGTACTAGTGCCTCTTCACCAGTATTTCACATTTATTTTCAATATTTCTGTGCAGCTTGTTAAAATTCAGGCTAAATCATCATCAGTGTAGCTGTAACATAATTTATTTCCTCAAAATTTAAATTATGGATGTAGAAGAAACCTCAAATTATTAACATATACTAAATCTGGAAGTCATTTTTCAAGTTGAACTCCTTCTAATCAACACTTCAGGGATTGAATAATTGGGGTAGGAAGAATGTCTTCTTTTTAGTCTCTCAACTGTTTCCCCTTAGGATCATTTTGCCACACATTTTAAGAAGATTGGAAGGGAAAATAAAAGCAGTTAAAAGTCAGACCAGTATAATTTGGGGTTTGTTGGTAGTTTAGGGAAGTACTTGAGGAATGCTGCTGGAATATGTGGTAGGAAGTTAAATGGAATGGAGCAAGTGGGGAATAGACAGATATGAAACAGAATTAAGACTTTTGTTGGTTTTTAGTTATCTACACATAGAGACAACTGAAAAAACTGCAAGATGACCCAACTTGGAAAAGAAAATGATTATAAAAAAATGTAAAGCAATGAGTAAAATGAATGAGGAAGACTTCTTGCAGGCTTGGTTCAGAAATGCCAAAGCAGCAGGGAAACAAGAGCTTTCAGAACTGAAGTTTGCTCAGTTACCTTGAACCTAGAAAACTGTAATTCCATTTTGGTTTTGGTTCTAGAGCTGTTCTTATTCATAATGTCTTACATTACTTACTAAAGCTTTTTATTTCTATGTCTCTCATAATCTCCTAATAGGTTCTTTCATATCCTTCACTCAAAATACAACATATATATATATATGGAAGCATTCCAATGGGTATAGGAATATGTTGATTCCTATGAAAGAACCAAAGGCAGACAATATATGCTCCTATGGAAGGACTCAAAAAGGAAGTAGAACTTAGTTGAATAGCTAGGATCTGAGGAGGCAGAGGGGAAAGCAAAAAGGGTATTCTGAACAATGGCTGGGGGACAGCACCACAAAGACATATCACTTCGAACTACTGTGCTACCTTCAAGCAACAATAACAAGACTGCCCTGGGTATGATGTGGGGTTTGCAGAGGTATGCATGTGGCAAGAAATAAGATTATATAGTAGCATCAACCAAACTATAGCTTTAAATTATAAAATAAGAGCCTTAGACTTCATTCTGTGAACCAGTATTTTTCTTTCTTTCCTTTTCTTCTTTTTTTCAAAAAATTCAAAAATTTTATTAGACTTCAGCCCTGATTGGTGTGGCTCAGTGGGTTCAGTGTTGTCTTGCAAACAGAAAGGTTTCTAGTTCAATTCCAGGTCAGGACACATGCCTGGATTGTGGGCTGGGTCCTCAGTTGGGGGTATGTGAGAGGCAACTAATTGATGTTTCTCTCCCACATTGATGTTTTCTCTTCTTCTTTCTCCTTTCCTTCCCCCCTCTCTAAAAAAAATGTCTTAAAAAAATTTTTATTAGACTTCAGTTACAATAATTGATTATGGATCACCTGTGGTTCATGACACCGTCTCACCACTGCTTTACTCATGGCCTTTTTATTTAGACTTTTCTACAGTCTTACTGAGATACATTTCACATCCCATAAAATCCGCCCATTTAAAGTACACTGTTCAGTGGTGTTTTGTATTTTCATAGAGTTCTATGACAATCACCTCAATTATTTTTAGAACATTTTCCTCAACCCCCCAAAAAAACTCCAAGCCAATTAGCAGTCACTCTCCACTTCCCCTCAACTTTTCCACAAATGCCCAGCCCTAGGCAACCACCAGTTAACTTTGTCTCTTTGAATTTCTCTATTCTGAATAATTCTATAAAAGAAATCATACAATATGTGATCTTTGTGACTGGCATCTTTCACTTAGCAGGTTTTCACTATGTTGTAGCATGTATCAGTAGTTCCTTTTTATTGCTGAGTAATATTTAACCACTCATCAGCTAATGAACATTTAGATTGTTTCTACTTTTCAGTATTATGAGTAACGCTGCTACAAACATTCATGTAAGTTATTTTGTGAATCTATGCTTTAATTTCTTGAGTATATATCTAGGTGTGAAATTACTGGATCATATAGCATGGTAACTTTTTGAGGAACTGCCAAAACTGTTAGCCATAGTATGTGTACCACTTCAAAGTCCAACCAACAAGGCACAAGGGTCCCAGTTTCTCCACATCATTATTGGTTTTGTTTAATTATAGTCATTTTAACAAG